CTTCCTTCCTTCCTTCCTTCCTTCCTTCCTTCCTTCCTTCCTTCCTTCCTTCCTTTCTTTCTTTCTTTCTTTCTTTCTTTCTTTCTTTCTTTCTCTGTGTGGCCCTAGCTCTCCTGGAACTCACTCTGTAGACCAGGCTGACCTCAAACTCAGAGATCTTCTTGCCTCTGCCTCCCAAGTGCTGGGATTAAAGCTGTGTACCACAACTGCCCAGCTTTGGTTCCCTTCTTAGATGCACATTGGTTATTTACTCAGCAGCCTTGTTTCTGCTGTAGGATTTAGCTCTGTTTACTTTCTTACTTTCCTATGCACACATTTCCCTTCTGGCCTAGTCTCTTCTCTAGAGGATTTGAACTGTGTTTGGACACACTTTAGGGGACTTTAATGTTGACCCATGTGTGCACCTTTAGGACCCTTTGGCTTGCTTCAACCAGACATACACCATTAACCTGTACTTAGTGGAGACAGGTCGGCGGCTGCTAGACACTGCCATCTCCTTCAGCCTGGAGCAGAAGGGCACTCGCCCTGAGCGGGTAAGTGACAGCCTTAGCTTTCACACTCTGTTCTGTGGGTCTCATGTCTTTGGGGCTGGCCCACAGCTGTGGCCCTAGCTCTCTGAACAAGGCTCCTAGTTCCTCCAGAACTCTGCCTGATGCTGGTGTTGCTATTGTTTTAGATTTATTATTTTAGGTGTATGAGTGTTTTGTTTGCATGTATGTGTTATGTGCACCATATGGGTTCATGGAACATTTGATTCCCTGGGACTGGAGTTACAGATGGTTGTGAGCTGCTATGCAGATGCTGGGAGTTGAACCTGGACCCTCTGTAAGAGCAGCAAGTGCTCTGACTCCTAGCCCCATTGCTATTGTTTTGTCCAGCTGTTGGTGTGTGTGAGGCCGTGCACTTAGCTTTTTGTTTATGCCTTAATCCATAGGGCATCTCGGCCATCATGTGGACTGGTTGTTACTGACCTGGTGTGTGAATGTGACCATAGGGCATTTTGAACCATGGAGCTAGTAAGGCATGTTGCTGGGGTTCAGACTCCAGACTGACTTCCTAGATGTACTAATAATCTTACCAGTGTCATTCTGGGGACATTAAATTGTGTCTCTCAGCTTCTGGGATGGGTCTCTTTATTTCTAAAGTGAAAATTCCTGGCCTGGCCTCTTGCTTACCTCATGAGGCCCAACGGGGGTGTGAAGGGATGATAGTACCATCAAATACTTGCTGCCCTTCATGGACAGATGAGAGAGAGCCTCAGCTCATTGCTGCGTTGGCTCTAAAGAATGTGTGCTTTCTGGCTGATGTCCAGATGATCACTGTATTGAGTAGACATCACACCATGCCATGCCCCTGGACCTCTGCCGACTCCCAACCCTTTGAATCGTGGGGTCTGGTGCCTGGGAGCCATTCGTCTTCTTACTGTCTGGCTTCTAGCTGTATATCCAGGTGTTCTTGAAGAAGGATGACTCGGTGGGCTACCGGGCCTTGGTACAGACACAGGACCACTTGCTGCTGTTTCTGCAGCAGCTAGGTAAGGGCCCCATACAGCCATTTGTGTTTTTGCCTGCTTTGAATTTCAGTCATGTGTGGTAGAGGTGGGTGGGGGTTATACACAGGTTTGGAAAAGGTTCAAGCAGAGTGTACTCAGAATTTTCTCAGTTCCTTAGGGGCTTGAAGTGTGATACAGAAGCTTCCTCACTTGTCTATTGACCCCAGCCTTGTGAGGTCTTTCGCATGAGACTTGAACTCCGAGCTACCTCTAAGAGGCTTCCTAGGGCTAGGGAGCCAGGCTAAGATTTTACACATTGGTTTCCTGTAGCCGGGAAGGTGGTGTTGTGGAGCCGAGAGGAGTCCCTGGCAGAAGTGGTGTGCTTGGAGATGGTGGACCTCCCTCTGACTGGGGCACAGGCTGAACTGGAAGGAGAATTTGGCAAGAAGGCAGGTATGAACCCAGGGAGGCTGCTCCAGGGAGGGTTAGGTGGGTTTATGGAGCTCCCTGGGCCCTGGCTTCTGTGCTCTGCCTGATGTTCTGGAGGAGTCCTGTGGCCAGTTTTCATTGCATCAGCTGCCCTGTGGTTTATGTAGCCACACTTTTGCTGAGTCCCTCAAATGAATGATCCTGAGGCAAAAATACCTTAACTTAGTATAGTTGTAGGTGTCATTGCTAGGGTACCTAAAGTTACCAGGCTCTGTGTCAAACACTTTCACCCATTGTCTCGAATGCAACATCCACATGTGTTTAAACATGACTGGAAATAGCCTGGAGTCCTCTGAGTCAGCAATAGTTTCATCAATGGTCATCTGATGAACTTGACTCATTGCTCTCCAGTCCATTCCTACCATCCCCACCCCATCCATTCATTTAGGTATCCAGTAGGCTGCTGTTGAGGGTATCTTCTAGGTCAGGTACACTGCTAGGTGTTGTATATTTTCTTAAGCTGAGAATTAATTTGACTTTACTGTCTATTTCTGCTGCTGGACCCAGCGATACAAGGTAAATCTTACTTTTTGCTGCCTGTTATGCCTTGTTTGCCCACATGGCCAGCGTTTGGTCAATTGCTTCTCTGACTTGCATCAGTAAGACACACACCATGTTTGAGTGGATTGCTCTGCTTGTGGCTTGCCTCTGCCTCTCCTTGAGTTGAGGTTGGTGAAAAAGAGATGAGCAAAGTTATTCTCTTAATGTGCACTTCCCATGTACCGGCACTGGTACCCAAGTGGATGTCATATGATGTGTTCTCTGTAACAGGCCTCTGAGTTATATGCCATTTAATAGATGAGGGAACAAAGGCCGAAAGGTTAAGCACATTTCTCAGGGTCACACAGCAGTAGTGACTAGAGCTGGGATTTTAATTCAGGCCTGTCAGACTCCCGAGACCTTCCTCTTTAACCCCGTATCATGCTCTAAAGGAGGTCACTTTCAGGGAGATGCTTCACCAGTTTAGTCAGGAGTAAGGGAGAATATTGACCTTAGGAATAGATTGCAGGAAGGGATGCTAGGAGCAGGTTAACGAAGTAGAATGAAATAGTGGGAGAGGGAAGCACCGTTCATGCACATACCTGCTCCCACTGCACCCAAGACCCATACTTCTGGTTTGGTTGTGACACCCAGATGCCTTCTCCTGGTCACCCCAGCATGGCTGCATCCTGCATGGCTGATTCTTACCTTTTAGTCTCCTATTACAAGATAGTAGGTAGGTGAAGCCCTTTGAGCCGGGTAAGGAGGTTTTAGAAGCTGCATGGCTGCTCCAGAGTGTGGGACTGCTGCATTGTACACAGACTGTCCTTTGAATTCGTTGTCTGGAGTGTGGATGACTGGAAGGTTCTACAGGAGGGGGACAGGTCCCTCCTGGGAAGCACACGCCTCCTTGCTGGACTCCTAGTCTGATGGGAGTACTTTCCTTCTTCCCTGACACCAGACGGCTTGCTGGGAATGTTCCTGAAACGCCTGTCTTCTCAGCTCATCCTGCTCCAGGCCTGGACTTCCCACCTCTGGAAAATGTTCTATGATGCTCGGAAGCCCCGAAGCCAGATTAAGAATGAGATCAACATCGACACATTGGCCAGAGATGAATTCAACCTGCAGAAGATGATGGTGATGGTAACAGCCTCAGGCAAGGTGAGCCCGTGAGCCCGAGGAAACAAAACTCTGGCAAGTACAGGCAGCAGGCCCGCCTTGTTCCAGGTTGCAAGGATGGAACAGTTCTTCATTCTCTTTCTCCTCAATATTTGTCTATCTTACAGCTCTTTGGCATCGAGAGCAGCTCTGGCACCATCCTGTGGAAACAGTATCTGCCCAGTGTTAAGCCAGACTCCTCCTTTAAACTGATGGTCCAGAGGACTACTGCTCACTTCCCCCACCCCCCTCAGTGCACGCTGCTGGTGAAGGACAAGGTGAGGCCAACCACACTGACTGGAGCCACAGCGCATTGCCTTTTGCATGTCTCACAGTTGAAATTTCTCCCATGCTTTGGGCATTCCATGGGAAGGTCTCAGGTTTGAAGCCTTGTTTCTGCCAATTTCTGGCCTGGGTGGAGGAACCATCCAGCTCTGATGTGGAACTGACAGGGATCCAGATCCACCTTCAGCCAGTGTGTATCCTTTGGAGTAAGGCTATCCCTGGTAGCTGAGTGGTTGTTTTCTCTCTGTGAGAGGAAAAAAGCCACAAAGCTATTGTGATTTCTGCATCAAGAATTTAAATGGGTCCATTCTGGCTGTGTTGTAAGGTCGGGTTTGATAGTTCCTCTTTTGGATCCAGCAATCATGAGATTGCTGAATTATGCTTGACTTGTTTTTTGGGGGATAGGGTCTCACTATGTAGCCCTGACTGGCCTGAAACTAGCTGTGCAGACCAAAATGGCTTTGAACTTGCAGAGAGCTAAAGGTGCTGCAATTAAAGGTGTGTACCACTCCGCCTGGCCTGGTACTTGATTTTTTATTTCCTCTTTAGCATGCCCAGTTCTTAGCTAGACTTGGAGCTAGAAGCAGTCCAGCCTCTTCCCTTGTCATGTCAGCCGAGGGGACCTGTCATCTTTGGTCAAGAGTTTTTTTCCACAAAGATGGCAGAAAGCAGGGAGTTCCTCCTGGTCCAGTTGACGCCTCAGTATCCCAGGCTCACCTATAGGATGTGCACTCCTTCTGTGTTGGAATCTGACTGTGTTCTGCCTGTTGCAGGAAACAGGAATGAGCTCTCTGTTTGTCTTCAACCCCATTTTTGGCAAGTGGAGCCAGGTAGCTCCCCCAGTGCTGAAGCGCCCCATCTTGCAGTCCTTGCTTCTCCCAGTCATGGATCAGGACTATGCCAAGGTGTTGCTGTTGGTGGATGATGAGAACAAGGTACCTTGTTTGAGTGGGGGAATGGGGTCTTCAGCGTGCAGCTGGCTGTGGGGTGGGGGTCAGGTACAGCCGGGACCAGAACGCACACGTTTATTGTCAGGCCACCCTCAGCAACAGATGGCCTGTGAGCACCTCTGTTCATAGGGTGCGCTTCACTACACCTGGCCAGGTTTTTCTTTTTCTAATTTTAATTAAACATTTTTTTATTGGTTGAATTATGTGTTTGTATATATGTGCACATCAGGTGCAGGTATATGCAGAACCCTGAAGCATCAAATCCCCCTGGGGCTGGAGTTATAGGTGGTTGTAAGACACCTCATGTAGGTACTAGAAATTGAACCTATGTCCTCTGGAAGAACAGTACGTGCTCTTAACCACCAAGCTAACTCTCAAGCCCCCAGCACTGAGGTTCTTAACAGCCATATTTAATCCTTAAATAGACCTAGTGACTTGTGTTATGCTTAAAGCTTTCTTTAGTGGGCAAGCAGTAATGGCACTTGAGAAATGGAAGTCAATGTTTCTCAACTTGCCTTTAACTCTTCTGGGCCATTTGGGTTTTTCAAGGTCACAGCCTTCCCAGCTACTCGGAATGTCTTGCGACAGCTGCATGAACTTGCCCCCTCCATCTTCTTCTACTTGGTGGATGCAGAGCAGGGGCGACTCAGTGGATACCGGCTTCGGAAGGTAGGGAAGAAGCAGCTGGCAGGCCTTGTGGGCTTCTCCTGTTGTGGGGCCTAATGCCAACTCAGTGGCACCCATTTGTTGATGCTGGGTAGGCAGCTGCTGTGTGGTGGACATGGCCCTCAGCTGCTCAGAATTGGTGGTGTCCTACAGATCCCACAGCCCAGGACGGATGTAACATGCCACTCTGAAGAGGGAGGCAGGAATGAGGGTTGAGTTGAGCAGTTATACAAAAGTGATGGTGTTGACCAAATTGCAACTGGACATTGCTTTGGGCTCTATTTCCAGAAATGGATCAGTTGGCTCTGAAGGGCTTTCGGCCTTGCCGGTATCCATGCACACTGGCTCTGAAGTTCACAAAAGGCTGGCCTTGACCTCAGTAGCAGGGCTGTCTGGGGGGAACTTGGTGTGGTTTTTGGTCACAAGAAAGTCCTTCTCTTTTGTCCTTTACTATGTTTTGAGAAAGAAAGCGAGAACAGAGATTAGCAGCTTAGGCCAGCTGCCTGGGGTTAGTGGTTCAGCTTTACTGCTTGCTAACTTTGTGATCTAGAACATACTATGTCTATAGCCCTGTTTTCATGAGGCTAGAATAAGATGATAAGGGTAGCGAGCAGGCTCAGCGGGTAAAGGCACTTACTGCCAAGCTTGATAATTTGAGTTCTAGACCTCAGACTCAAATGTTACAAAGAGAAAACTAATGCTTACAGGTTGTTCTCTGACCTCTACATATATACACATGCAGATAGAAGATAGATAGATAGATAGATAGATAGATAGATAGATAGATAGATAGATAGTAGATAGTTGATAGATAGATAGATAGTTGTAAAAAAAAAAAAAAAGAGCATGATACTTAGCCTGAGAAACAATTGTTGTGAAGTTTTATTTTTATTATTCTTTGTGTATGGGTGTTTTTCCTACATGAATGCCTGGTGCCCTTAGAGGCCAGAAGAGGTTGTTGGATCCCTGTGACAGCAGTTCTGACTGTTAGAAGCCACTGCTGAGAAATGAACCCATGTCCTCTAGAAGAACAACTGGTACTCTTAACCATGGAGCCCCCTTGCTAGCTCTTACTGTTATTTCTAATTCTTTCTGGATGTATGTGTGAGGGTGCACGTGTGTAGGTGCCTGTGCAAGCAGGAAGCGTGTGTAGAGTTCCTGGGAGCTAGAGTTACAGGCAAAACCTGACACGGGTGTTAGGAGCCAAACCTGGGTCCCCTGGAGGAGCAACCAGTGCTCTAGGTTCAAATAATGGTCCACCACCGAGCCCTCTCCAGTCCCTATTGATACAATTTCTATTAAAAATGTTAGAGGGGCTGGGGGAGATGACCTAGTGGTGAAGAACACTGGCTGCTCTTGCAGAAGACCTGGGTTTGTTTCCTAGCACCCATGCAGCAATTCAGCCATCTGTGAATCCAGTCCCAGGTGGCCCAACATTCTTTTCTGACCTCCCATATTGCACAAACATATATGCAGGCAAAACACCCACATACATAAAATGAAAATAAAGGGAATAGTAAAAACAAAACAAAAGCAAAAAACATTAGTAATATGTAAACTCATTGTCACTGTGAAAGACTGTATTGATATACAGTTCCCTGACAGGTGAAGCGCTGTATGTTCAAGGCCAGCCTGGACTACAGAGTAAGTTCCATGATAGCCAGGTTATATAGAGAGACCGTGTCTCAAAAAAAAAAAAAAAAAATCTCATGAACAAAATATGGCCATCCCCGTGTCCTACCCTCAGCGGTTCCTGCCAGTTGTTTGCTGTGTGTTGATAATACTATAAGCATAGCTGTATAGACACATGCTTCCACTGTCTCATAAAATTTATTTCTTAGTAGGAACTGATCTGTATTTATTTGTGTTTTCACTTAATGTTTTTTCTGCTTCATTATTTTTTTTCAGAAATCCTACTCATTTATTTATTTAGAGGCAGGATGTTGCTATGTAGTTCAGGCTGGCCTTGAACTCATGACAATTCTCTTGTCTCAGCTTCCTGAGCTCTGGGATTAACAATTGAGCTATATTACCAGCTCCCTGCTTTAGCATCTTTTTTTCTTTTCTTTTTTTGAGACAGGGTTTCTCTGGGTAGCCTTGACTGTCCTGGACTTGCTTTGTAGATCAGGCTGACCACGAACTCCCAGAGATCCGCTTGCCTCTACCTCTCTGAGTGCTGGTATCACAGGCGTGCACCACTGTGTTTGGCTCTTTTTTATTTTTCTAAGTTAAAAAAATCACATTTATTTATTCTTTATTCTTTATTTATTCTTTATTCTTTATGCCTGTGTGTACAAGCATGAGCCCACATGCCATGGCATTCTCGTGGAAGTCAGAGCACACTCTACACATTCTCTCCTTCCATCATGTGGGTTTCAGGGATTGAACTCTGGCTGTCAGGCTTGGCGGCAAGCACACCTTTACCAGCTGAGCATCTATGAGGCCTAGTATCTTATTCTTTGTTTGAGACAAGATCTCACTGTGTAGTCCGTAGTCCTGCTGGTCTGGAACTCGCTGTGTAGATTAGGCTATATCTTTTTTTCTTTAATTAGACAGAGACTTCCAAACTTCTTTACTAGCCCTGTGTTTTTTTTTTTGTGTGTGTGTGTGTGTGTGTGTGTGTGTGTGTGTGTGTGTATGTATACATGTATGTTGGGGTGTAAGTGCACATGAATACATATGTGTAATAGCCAGAGGCTAGCTTTGGGTGTCCTTTCTCAGGTGCCAACCACCTTATTGTTTTTACTCTGTGGAGTCTCTTACTGGGCTGGAGCTCACCAGGTAGGCCAGGCTGCCTGGTCAGTGAGCCTCAGGGATCCTTCCTTCTGTCTCCACCCTCCCAGTGCTGGGATTAAAGTGCAGCCACCATGAGACCTCCTTTGCCTCGGTCTGGAAGTCAAACTCGGCCAGCACTTCACTGCCTTACCCATGCATCAGCCTGAGCCGTGTCTGTTCCTGGTCCATGTAGCACACAGGCTGGGTCAGCTGTGAGATGCCTCTGACTCTCTGGCCCTGGCCAGCTCCTAATCACAGGCCCTCTTGCTCCTCCCTAGGATCTCTCTACGGAACTGAGCTGGGAGCTGACTATTCCCCCAGAAGTGCAGCGGGTCGTCAAGGTGAAAGGGAAGCGTAGCAGCGAGCACGTGCACTCCCAGGGCCGCGTGATGGGGGACCGAAGTGTTCTCTACAAGGTATGGTGCCTGGCAATGGAAGGCCAGTTTTTATTTATTAATATGTAGGTATTAGATTTAATTTTTTTTTTTATGAGACAGAATCTCATTATGTAGCCGTGGTTGGCCTGGAACTCACTTTGTAGACCAGGTTATCCTTGAACCCTGCTTCTGCTTCCTTCCTGAGTGTTGGTAGTAAAGTCATGTACTACCATGCCCTACTTAATATTATTATATTAAGTGTTATATTATTACATTATGTGGAGATAGGACATGTACAGTGGCATGTGTGTAGAGGTCAGAGGACAACATGTGGGAAATGGCTGTCTTCTTTTAACATGTGGGTCCTGGGAATCAGACTCAGATTGACAGGAGGCTTGGTGGCAAGTGTCTTTACCTGCTGAGGCATTTCACTGGTCCAAGTAAGGCCTTAGCATTCTGGTCAAGTCATATGACTCCTGTGTGTATTGATTTGCTGTCTACGTGAAGTCTGTGTATATGCTATGGATGTATTCAGGGCTTCTGTCATGCTAGGAAAAGTACTCTGCCATCCAGCTATGTGCCCAGACTCCACAAATATTCCTTCCTCTTTTGGTTGTGGACATCGCATAAGCCATTCATCTTCTCTTAGTGCTTGCTGTGTGGTCCTCCCACTTATATGCTAGTTTTATTAATAGTACAGGAATGACTACAGTCTTCTGGAGTTAAAGGTTAATGAGTCCCTCAGAAAATTCACAGAGGCAATTTGTGGGCTGCAAACTGTCTTGTAGGAGGGTGGCACACTTTTAATTCCATCACTCAGGAGGCTGAGGTGGGAGGATTGTAAATTTAAGGCCAGCTAAGATTGGCCATAGTGACACACTTGTTTCAAAAAAGGGTGATGGTGAGCTAGACGGCTCAGCAGACCAAGGCACTTGCACCTGCACTTGATCCTCAGAGCCCGTCTTGGGAAGAGGTAGGAAAGATAGCTACATTACAGGTTTGAAGAGGATTAACAGAAATGCTAGGCATTCACTGGCCCCAGTCCGTGGAGTATACAAAGCAAGCACTGAGCTGAGAAACCACAGAGGGAGCAGTGCTGGTTCAGCTACCAGCACCGAGCTCCATATTGGCCTCAGAACCCTTGGGCGCACAGGGGAGCCAAGCACATGACATGCTATGCTGGTTTCTAAAGCTTGTCATTGTGGTTTCTCTCCTCAGAGTCTGAACCCCAACCTGCTGGCTGTGGTGACAGAGAGCACCGATGTCCACCATGAGCGTACCTTCATTGGCATCTTCCTCATTGATGGTGTCACTGGCCGCATCATCCACTCTTCTGTACAGAAGAAGGCCAGGGGCCCTGTCCATCTCGTCCATTCAGAGAACTGGGTGGTGGTAAGGAGTCACTGCCAGGGGCACAGAGTAGCTCAGGAGGTCCCTGAGTTTGTGTCCTCCCCAGAAACAGCAGCAGCTTTGTGCTTTCTTAAGATTATAGCCTCTGGAAGGCAGCACAAGGTCAGGCAGAGACGGGACCTGGAGGTCAGGGCTGACGGCCTGGCCTGCTGTGTTCTTCCAATTGTCTGGATGTCCTTGAGCTAATCTTGTGAGCTCTGTGGTTGCACTGTGCAATAAGAATAGTCGTGGTCTTCTCCAGGCCAGCTCAGAACATTGCACTTCATAAGCACCAGAGGTTGGCTGCTGTTACTATTACTCCAGAGAACACTGATTGTTCCCGTGTCATGGACAACTTTGGACAGACATTAGACAAAGCCATTATGGGAGTTAGTAAAACTGCAACAAGGAAGAACAGGGAGCAGCTGGGTCTTTTCCTCTGTCTTCTGCAGCTGTTGTGAATGGCCTCTATAGTGTGACCTTCCCTTTCCAGTTGATCCGGCACTAAACTCAAGTCACTTCCCCTTCTGCCCACAGTACCAGTACTGGAACTCAAAGGCCCGGCGCAATGAGCTGACAGCCCTGGAACTCTACGAGGGCACTGAGCAGTACAATACCACTGCCTTCAGCTCCCTAGACCGTCCGCAGCTGCCCCAGGTCCTCCAGCAGTCCTACATCTTCCCCTCCTCCATCAGGGCCATGGAAGCTACCATTACCGAGCGGGGCATCACCAGCCGCCACTTGCTCAGTGAGTGTCGGGAGGAGGGCTTCACCTGAAGTGAGGATGCCCCGCTTCTGTTGGCTTAGTTCAGCTTTGCCTATGCCCAGTCCTCAGTTATCACAAACCACTCTTTCTGTGGTGCATTCTTCCAGTTCAGAAACCCATCCCTAATGTCATTTGTTTTAGCTGTGTATACACACACACACACACACACACACACACACACACACACACTTAGGTTAGCATACAATATAATGGGTTTTCCTTAGACATACTCACATAGCTGTGTCATTATTCTTTGTTCTTATTTATGCCCTGCCTCCACACTTCCCTTCTCCTCTGCTGATCCCTTCTCTCCCTCTAAAAGAACCCCTTATACTTCTATGTAGTGTGGACCCCACACCCCCCTAAACTTAAGTCCTTCTGCATGGGAGAGAAATTGTCTGGCTTTCTGCATCTGACTCTTCATGTCAGTCTTGGTTGTTGTCTGAGATAGGATCTTCCATTGCCCAAGGTGGCTTCAAACTCCTAAGCTTCCTGCCTCCACCTCTTGAATGCCCAGTATTCTGATTGTTTTTTTGTTTTTGAGACAGAGTCTCTTAACAGAGCCCTGGCTGTCCTGGAACTCACTGTGTAGACCAGGCTAACCTCAAAACCCTGAAATCCTCTCTCTGCCTTCCAAGTGCTAGGATTCAAGGCGCATCACCATGGCTGGCCTCTGATGTATTTTTTTTTTTAACTTTTTAAAAAGTTGTTTTATGTATATGGCTATTTTACGCACATCTGTGTACTACGTCTGCCTGGTGCTCGGGGAGGCCAGAAGAGGACACTGGATTCACTGGAACTGGAGTTAGAGGTAGTTGCAAGTAGTTGTGAACAACCACGTGGAAGTTGAGAATTGAATCTCGTCCTGGAAGGACACCAGTGCTCTTAACCACTGAGCTGTCTCTCCAATGCTCTCCTGTACCCCCCAACCCCATGTCATTCTTAGCACAGCCTGTGCGGACTTACGTAGAAACCAGAGGGCTTATTTGGTATAGGCTAAGATTAAGACTCAGCGATAATTTAACGGGTCCTGTACCTACTTGAGTTTATTTGAGATGTCTGGCACTCTTGGCCCTGACAGGTACTGAGTGTTGCTCTTGTCAGTAGGAAGAAGCTAGCTCTGGGCATTACAGGACCTTTGCTCACCATTAGGAAACTGCTGTTGCCTAATGCTTGGCCCTCTGCATTCCTGGCTGCATACAGGGCCTCAGGCCAACAGAATATGTGAAGAAACCAGTGTCTTCTAAGCACCTTCATTCAGACCCATGTGCATGCGTGTTGTTGTTTTGCTGTTTCCAGTGGTTTCGTTTTTCATTGTTTAACAGGACCTTGGTGACCTGTTTTTTGTTTGTTTGTTTATTTAAAACTCTTCATGGTAAACTTTTCATCCGGGATTGGGTAAATATGAACCTTCATCTCTTCTTGTACAGTTGGGCTGCCTTCTGGAGCAATCCTTTCCCTCCCCAAGGCCTTGCTGGATCCCCGGCGCCCTGAGATTCCAACAGAACAAAGCAGGTGAGACCGATATGGGTAGAAGGCTCTGACTGTCAGGCCTTGATCCCAGTGATGGTGGCGGCGCTCAGTCTGCCATGCTAGGCCTCTGCCTCTGGAGCTGATGTTTGGGTGGGAAATGACATTAAGTAACAAGCAGAGTGAATGGTGTTATTTACTGGTAAATGCTAAGGAGAAAGAGTCCGGGGCAGCGTGAGAATACCAGGGATATGTGGGAGAATTTGAGATCAGGCCCTGGGAGATCCTTGGGAAAGTTGATCTGAAAGTGGTTGGTATTGGTTCCTGCTGCATGGGTATCTGAGGGAGAATGTTCCAGGCAGAGGAAACAGCACCAAGGCCCCGAAGTCACATTTGTCGGTCTGATGGCTGTACAACTGTTGTAGTGAAGAGTGGAGATGAAGGAAGGAAAGAAGGTGACAAAGGGACAGGTTGTGCAGGGAAGGCTGGGCGTGTTGGTTGTTCTCTGACAGTGTGAATGCTCCAACTATAATCTCTGCCATCTCCTCCCTAGATCCTAAAGTTTTTTTTTTTTTTTACTTAGGGCTACCCAGAAGGGTGGGTGGTGGGAGTATCATTTTGTCTTGGAGTAAGAGAGACTGTGGAGCTAGAAGAACCCTGTACCCTTTTCGAGGATGAGCTGGACTGAGGGAGGCATGAATAGGAGTTGCCAGTGGTTTGGTATGTTGGTTTGAAAATGGCCTGACTTTTCTTCTGGTGTGCAGCACTGGCCAGCTGTGTGATTTTTTTTTTTTTTTTTTTTTTTTTGAGGCAGTCCTCCTATCTCAGTTTCCTAAGTGTTGGGATTTACAGATGTACCACCCCATGCCTGGCTTGTGTTATGTGTTCTTACCAAGTTTAGAACAATTTAGGAGTCTTTTGTTTAACCTTAATCTCTAGCCAGCCTTCCTTCATGCCCTTCTCCATTTATCAGCTGCTTCATTTGTAACAACCTAACCCAAGTAGGCCTCAAAGGAGATTCAAGGTTTGATATATGTCCTGGAACCTTCCCAGGTCCCAGGAAGGACAGCCAAGAAAGAGATCCCTTTACAGCTTTTAGAGTTCTTGTTCCCATCTTTGTTTTGCAGAGAGGAGAACCTGATCCCGTATTCTCCAGACGTCCAGGTCCATGCAGAGCGATTCATCAACTATAACCAGACAGTCTCTCGAATGCGAGGCATCTACACAGCACCCTCAGGCCTGGAGTCCACTTGTTTGGTGAGTGTCATTTGCAGTGATGGCCTTGTGGGGTGTGAATGCACTTCTGTGTGGGGTGTGAGTGTACTCCTGGCTGAGCTTCTGTGTGGGGTGTGAGTGCCCTGTGCCCTGAGGATCACATCTCCTTCCTGAGTCTGAGTGCGGCTCACTGTCTGCCTTTCCCCCAGTTCTTATTCTGTCTGTCTTTCAGGTCGTGGCCTACGGTTTGGACATCTACCAAACTCGAGTTTACCCATCCAAGCAGTTTGATGTCCTGAAGGACGACTATGACTATGTGCTAATCAGCAGTGTCCTTTTTGGCCTGGTTTTTGCCACCATGATCACAAAGAGGTTGGCACAGGTGAAACTCCTCAATCGAGCCTGGCGGTAAAATAGAAGCATCGCACCAGAGTGGAGCGTCGGGGAAGCGTGTCACCTAAGGAGCTGTGGCCGTGGATTGGTGGATCAGTGAAGCTGGATTCTCATCTCACTTGAGTCTGGGAGAAGAAGATAGGCCCTCATGTCGAACTGCTTTGGTAAAACAGTGCCAGCACAGTCCTCGTGGGATGGACAGCCACCTCAGCGAGGATCTTAATGACTCGGATCCACTGCTCTGTTTGCTTTGTGCCCGTCCATGGATGTTCTGGGGGTTTTTGATTTTGTTTTTTCTTTTTACGGGACCTCTGGTTTTTCTCTTCTGAGGATGTTTAAATTGACTTTAGTTAGCCTTCTGTGTCTCTGGTCTTACTGGAAATTCTCTGACAACTTGCTTTCCGCCTCTTGCTTCCAAGCCTGCTGGGTCAGCTCTGCCTTTAAAGTGCCCTTGGCCTGACTCTAATGGGAATGATTGCAGGGGCCATTCTTAGTTGAGGTCTGAGGACTTCTCTCTGAAGTAACAGAAGTTGAGGGATCCATACAAAGAGTCAGAACTGATTAGTCAGAACTGATTTTAACTAAGCTTTTCAATCCATGCTGCCATTTGTATGGTTGGGCTACTGTTTGTTTCAGCCTATCAAAGCAAAGTACCTAATAGCATTTTGATTTTTTACCCATAGCCTATGCTTTCCCCCTGAGATGTAGCAGGCTAAAGACTTTAGTCCTTTACATTAATAAAAAAAAAAAAATTATATATATATAATTGGAAAATTGGTTTTTTGAGGCAGGATTTCTCTGTGTAGCCCTGGCCATCCTGGAACTTTTTCTGTATACTAGGCTGGCCCCCATCTCAGAGATTCATCTGCTTTTGCCTTCCAAATGCTGGGACTAAAGGCATGTGCCACCATAATTAGCTTAGGGCTAAGGCTTTTTAAAACTACCAAACTCTCTGAGCCTTGATGAGATTTTGGTCCCAGCACCTCATCTTTCGTTGCCCCTCCAGGCCCCTCCAGACATCCTGTAGCTCAGCTAGAGGAAAGTTCTTTGCTAAAAAAAAACAAAAAAAAACAAAAAACACCTTATTTATTCTTAATTTAGGTTTGTTTTGTTTTTTGAGGCAGAGTTTTGCTCTGTAGCTCAGGCTGGCCTAAACTTGCAATCCTCCTAGCCCAGCCTCCCAGTGTTGGTATTATACTTGTATGCCATCACACTTGGCAATGAGTAAGTTTTAAATTTCTGTATGGCATTAGGGTTAGAACCCATGGTCTTTCCTGCCAGGCATGTTCTCTGCACTGAACTCTACATAAAAGAAGCCAAGAGGGCTGTTATTTTTCTTAAGCAGTTTAAAAATCTTACTAGTTAAAAAAAAAATTTGGGGGGCGGGCTGCAAGGAGGAAGCTGGGACTCACACCCAGGGCCCCATGTGTGTTAGTGCACACTCTCCTTCTATTACTACTGAGCCACAGCCCCAACACACCTAACCATCTCACTTATTTTATTTTATCTGAGTCAAGGTCTCACTATGTAGTCCTGGCTGTCCTGGAACTAGCTATGTAGACCAGGACTGGGCTTCTGTTTATGGTGGTGGTGGAGTATGCACTTCTGTTGGGGCTTCTGTGTGTGTGTGTGTGAGAGAGAGAGAGTATATGTGTTCACTCCTGTTTGTGTGTGTGTGTACTTCTGTGTGGGGTGTGTGTGCACTCATAGCTGGATTGGTTTCTCTGTGGGGGGTGCATGTGTACACTTCTGTCTGAGTTTCTCTGTGAAGTGTGTGGGTGCACTCCTTGTTGGACTTCTGTGTACCACACAGAAAGAATCCTACGTTTTACTTTGCTTGTGGACTTGGGGACTGATTGTTCGTTGAGAAGAAGGGAAAGCACTGAGTTGAACACAGGCCCTGGAATAAAGCTAATGATTAGCGGTTGTGGCCTCAGCTTTGTTTTTGTGATTTCAGAGTTTACTTTGAGGCTCCTTTTGCATTAAAAGAGGAGGAAGCAAAGCCAGATGTGGAGGCATACCCTATAATAGCAGCATTTGAGAGGTGGTGGAAGGAGGATCAGAAGTTGAAGTACATAGTTGAAGATGACCTTCAGCTACATGCTCAGCCGAAGCTACATGAGACCTTGTCTTTTTTTTTTTTTTTTTTAAAGGAGGGGGCGTGTGGAGAGATGGCACAGTAGCTAAGAGTAGCTGCCGCGTTTTCAGTTCAGTTCTCAGTACTCATCCTGTGTGCCTCACACCACCTGTCGTCAGTCTACCTCCAGGAGATTCCGAATCCTCTCCTGGCTCTGTGAGCATGTACACACGTGTATACATAATAAATATATATATATATATTTTTTAAATCGGGAAAGAAATGGAGTTATGTCCTCTAAGGCAACATGCTGACTTTCTCATGGGTCATAACCAGCTTCCTCTACTGGTAAATTGTCCAGCTGGATTAGTGAACATCCGACATGTCCAGTGAGAGGCCCCTGTACTACTGGCTTTGTGAAAAGCAACCGGGATAAGGCACCGGGACCCATTACGTTTTTCTGCTCTAGTTTTTGCTTTGTTACAAGGTCTCACCTTGTGAATCTGGCTGGCCTGAGTGCACAGAGCTATGCTTGGACTAAAGGCATATGCCACTACACCCAGCCTGCCCTAGTACTGAGATGGAGGGGCTGGAATCTTCTGTAAGGTGCCTAAGTAACATCTTCAGCTCTAGTCACACAGCCATGGTTTTTTGTTTTTGTTTGTTTGTTTAGATTTATTTTTATTTTATGAGTGTTTTCCCTGCATCTATCTGAGTGTACTGTGTGAGAGCCTGGTGCTCATGAAGGCTAGAAGAGGATGCTGGATTCCTTAGAACTGGAATTAGGGGTGATTGTGAGCCACCATGTGGGTCCTGGGAACTGAACTGAGTTTCCTGGAAGAACAGCCAGTACTCTTAATGGCTGAGCCAGTGTCCAGCCATTATACTGCCTGCTTTGTTTCCATAACACAGTCTGCAAGATTCTAGTTTCCCCCTATGTAAGTACCAGAATCTTAGCCAGGCTCCGTGGCGCATGGCTATAATCTCAGCACTGAGAGGCAGAGGCAGAGGCAGGTGGATCTTTGTTTGAGGTCAGCGTGAGTCCAGGACAGCCAAGGCAGATAAACCCTGTCTCGAAAAGCAAACAAACAAAACAGAACAAAATGCTAGAATCTTAAAGTAGCCAATGGTGGAGAAGTGACCCATCTTCATAGAATTCAAAGAATTTCATCTTTTTACCTTTGCCATTTTACCAAAGTTACTCAAAGCAGGTGATTAAAATAGCTAAGGTCTGAGTGAAATCTAAGTTTTCTCATAAGTCTTGATTTTCCTTTACTGTTTTTATTTTTTGTTTTATTTTTGATACATTGTCTCTCTATGTAGCCCTGTGTAGACCAAGCTGGCCTTGAACTCACAAAGTTCAGCCTGCCTCTGTCTTCTGAGTAGTGAGATTAAAGGTGTGGACCTTTATGTTTATTTTTATTTTATATTTATATGTGTGCACCATATATATGTCTGGTGCCCAAGGATCCAGGAGAGGCCACCAGACCCCAGGAACTGGAATTAAAGACTGTTGGAGCTGTCATGTGTGTGCTAGAAACTGAACCTGGGTCTTCTGCAAGAGTAGCTTGCACTTTCGACACCTGAACTATCCCCCAAGTTCCTCCCCCTCAATTTTAGGCAACCACCCCATTCCCTCTGATTAGCTCAAGTATTTTCTGTAGATGAGGACTTGAGTTACTTAAGTTTAAGTTACAGCCAAGATATTGGTTACTGGCAGGGGTCAGGAGGCTCTGTGGGCTGGAGATGGTCTTCTCACATGGGTGTCGGACTGATGACTTGCATGGGCCTTGGGGTGTGGGATTCCTACCAACTCTGGAAGTAGCCTAGATAAATGGAACAGTTGGTCACACTACTATTGGAAGCTCAGTTCCTTTCAGGATGGGCCCCCGGGGCTGCTTCTGCGGTCTTCCGTCATGGCTGCTTATCTCAGGACAAGCAATGCAGGAGGGTGTGCCACTCTTCCTCAGTCAGAAAGCAGCTTCCACCTGGTTTTTGAGATTGTATTTCTTCTCTTAGTTCTCTGATCCATTGGGTTTCTTTGTGAATATTCCATGAACCCCCTTTTCCCTTATCTTTATTAGATATATTAGTCCCTTACAGTTTTACTTAAAATGAGTGATTCCTTACTATTTTGTTTGAATGGGGAAGGTGTTCAAGAGGACATGGACATGAATTATGAGGTGGAGATAAAAGGGTGTTTTGTGACAAACCTTTTCTTGGGGAGATAAGACACACACATCACCCACCTCAGATAGGGTGCCTGATAGACCGAAGTTCAGATACCACTTGTTATTTATGTAGTTTAAAATTTTATTTAAATGATTTTTTTAAAAAAATATTTTATGTGTATAAATGTTTTGCCTGCATGCATGTATGTGTAACTGTTTGTGCCTGGTACACTCAGAGATCAAAAGGCATTAAGATCCCCTGGAACTGAAATTACAAATGGTTGTGGGCTGTCATGTGGGTGCTGGGAACTGAACCTGAGTCCTCTGAAAGAGCCATTTCTCCAACTCCCACAAATTTTGTTTTTATTTATGTGTATGTGTGCCTCAGACTGGGTCGGGGGAAAGGCTAGAAGAGGGTCTTAGATTCCCTGTAGCTAGAGTAACTAGCGGCTGTGAGTACAGGTGCTAGGAATTGAACCTGGAGTCTGTGGAAGAGCAGCAGCCTGTGCTCTTGATTGCTGAGTCATCTCTCTAGACCCTACAATTAAGTTTAAAGTTTCAGATTGTTCCCGGCTCAGGTTTAAAAGCCTTTATTTTTAGTCCATTTAAAATATCACTATTTTGTAGTTACTATCTTACTTTTTAGATCAGACTGTTGATGAAACCTGTGCTTCATCTAAACTGCTTTTCAGTGTTACCTAAATGTATGTATGTGTTTTTTCTTTTTTCCTTTTTTGAGGCAGTCTTGTATATTCCTGATAGATTTGTAATTTGCTATGTAGACCTGGCTGGTCTTGAATTTGTGGTAATCCTCTGCCTCTCTAGTGCTGGTACTACAACCATTTAAAAAAGATTTATGTGCACATTTATGTGCGTATTTGCGTGTTTTTTGTTTTTTGCGGGGGCAGGGTATGTTCGCGTGGGCATGCAGGTTCCTATAGTGTCCAAAAGAGGGCATCAAATCCCCAGGAACTGGAATTACAGGCGGTAGCTAGCTAGACTTGGGTGGTGAGAGTGGAATTCTGCTAATCCTTTCCTCCAGCTCCTCAATCTACATTTAGAACATAGATGTTATCTCAAGAACAAACCTCTATTACTAAAATGTATGTATTTGAAATGCAGGATGTTTACTCCGAGTGCCTTTTCGGTACCTAAAAGCCAGGAATATTAGTTATTACTGCTGCCGGTGGGATGTGGTGTAGCAAGCCTAGAACCTCAGCACTTTGGTGGGAGGATTGTGCAGTGTCCAAGGCCAGCCTGGGCTACAGCGAGGACGCCCGAATATAATAAAACAACCCCCACCTCGGAATTACAAATTGGCGTAGATACCCACACCTGTAGTTCCACTGGAGGTGGAGGCAGGATTGCTGAAGTATGAGGCCAACTTGTTCTAAGTAGGGGCCTTCTATAAGGGCTCCTGTCTTTAATGCCAGCGCCCTGGAGCCTGAGGGAGGAAGGTTCGCAGACAGTCTGGGCTATAGAGTGCGACCACATTTCAAAAGACTTAAGTACCCCGCAGGATTATTACTGAAGGGATCCTAAACATAAAGGGATCCTAAGCAAAAATAGGAACTCGTAAAGAAAATTGTCATGAAGTGGTGTGCGGAGAAAGTTTTGCCAACTGGGAAGCGCTAACATGGCTGTTTGTGCGGTACACTGGGCACAGGAAGCAGCTAACAGAGAATAGGCTTTGGCCTCCTCTCGTCCCTGACTATCCCAGAAAGGCGCCATTCCCCTGCCTTACACATCTCTCCCGAATCCAAGTCACAAACTTCCCAATTGCAACAGGCTGTGAAGCCATATTCCCGCTTAATGTCGAGCCTGCGCACGCGCAGTAGCTAGCAATCCCTACGAGCATGCGCAATGGTGCGTGCCTCTCTAACGCACGCGCAGAGGGCACGGCTCCGAGCCCTTCCCTGGAGCGCTCAGTCCTACGCAGGCGCACTGCCTCGAGTCCTGCCCCCGAGAAGTCAGAGGCGGCCTAGCAATTTGCGTTTTTGTTGAGCGACTCACGGCGCACTGTCTGACGCGCACGATTGCGTCACTTCCGCCCCCTCCGGGAGGCGGCGCTGGGCCGGTGGCAAGCCCCCGGAGGGAGCCGCAGTAGTACGACGAAAGATGGCGACGAGCGGCGGCGAAGAGGCGGCGGCAGCAACTCCAGCGCCCGGAGCCCCGGCGACCGGACAGGACACGACCCCGGGCTGGGAGGTGGCGGTGCGGCCCCTACTGTCCGCGTCCTACTCCGCCTTCGAGATGAAGGAGTTGCCGCAGCTGGTGGCCTCAGTCATCGAGAGGTACCGGGCGGCGGCGCCGAAGGGCGGCGCGGTGTGGGGGGGAGGGGAGGACTTGCTGGATATTGAGTCCCCGCTGTCCGGCAGCCTCCCGCCGGGAATCCGCCCCACGCACGGCTTCGGGGCTCCCGGGCGCTGGAGACAAGAGCTCCTTAGGTTTCCTTCCCTCTGTGGTGTAACCCATCTCTGACTCGATGTCCCCTTCTGAGCAAAACTTTTATGCCTGCTCTTGCTGGAGGGCGTGGCCGGACGCATTTGAAAACTGGCTTTTGAGATGCAAGGTGCTCCTTGGCGGAGGTTCCCTGGCCTGGCCCCCTGTGTTAAGGTCAGGGCGTGGATGAGTTTGCATTTCTTCCTGCCAGCAGAGTCCGAGATTTACAGTGGCGG